AAGCGGTTTTTTTATCCTCCCTGTTAAATATTATTTTTTCGTATTGATACAGAAGCATGTTATTCTATGTTAATATCAACATAAATTTAATTCAATTTAATTTATAAACGCTAATATAACACTGTTTTTACTTGTCATTATTGTTATTTGTTAATTTATTCAAACATGATTTATCACGTTTAACTTATCCAATATGTGGCTTTTATTGTTTATTTCTGTTTTTATAAACATTTTTTTATTCTTTCTGTTTTTGTTTTTTTGTAATTTTTGTTCTGTTTTGCTTATTTAACATTTTCACAAAACAAAACATTTTTTTAAAAGAAGAAAAATAAGTAAAAGGAAATTGTCCAAATCATTTTTTTATATTTTCAAAACCCCCTTTCTAACCCAAACCGGCAAATAGTCAGTTTTATTTTACTTAAAATAATTAACAAATGAAAACTCAATTACCTAAGATTGTTCAAAAATAACCTTTTAGATGAAATTTTATATCGCTTTATTGTGTTACAACATTAAATATAAAAACGCTACATCGTCAATCCACTTCATAATAAACAATGTCAAATAGTCGCATTAATAAATATAACGATAATATAAACACCAATATCATTATAATCGAATGACAATATACTTTTTATAAAAAAGAACTAAATATATTAAACCATCATTAGACCCCATTTTTCTTTTTAATGCTTTGCTCTTGTTAAACACAAATCAACTCAAACATGTTTATTTGTGTGATTATAAAATATACAATTCAAATTTAAGTTGATAAAAAAAATAAAAATTTTTAAATATTTTTTTGTGTATGAAGGCAAAAAAAGTTTTAGGTAAAAGAAAAAATAAAAACTTATTATTATTACGTTTCTGTTTCGAACGTGTTAATTTTTAATATCAGATAATTTTCCACAAAAATGAATTTTTGGTATAAATAATAAAATAATGATATAATGATAATTTTAAAATTTTTAATATTTATTTTTATCTATTTTTCAGGAAAATCACTTAATATTAATTCCAAATTATTTAAACAGTTTTGGGACAAATTTTTAAAAAACTGTTAAAAAGAGCAATATTTGGTTGTCGGCGTATTAAACTTTATAAAGATTATAATTCATTTTAAATTATTTGTAATAATATACATAAGACCCAGTTATCATAAAATAAAAAGTAAACAAATCACCGTTAAACAAATTTATAAAAATAAAAAAGTCAACAAAAATGAATCTTCTCAAAAGTTTACACATTTTGAAAACTCATCTACAAAATATTTACAATATAGATCACACGAGAAAGAAAAATGCATAGTGTCAAGAATACAGGAGCGATAAAGGTAGAGAAGTAATTTCTATTGAAACAGACTTGAGTACAGATCTTTATGTAAGTAGAAAATACTTATTAGAAAAAAATATCTAGAAACTGAAAAAGAGAAATGTTTCTAGACAACATTAATTGGATTGGGGTGAATCGATCCAAAACGACAAACGTAGATTTAGTAGAAGAAACTGAGCTTGAGAAAGCCTTTACGAAGGAAGAGTAAAAAAATTTAAAGTTTATATCAAAAGTCATAAAAATGACTGAGAAAGTGGTATGAACTTTGGTTTGAATATGACGGTAGCGACAAGAGATCTTTTTTTCTTGTTAACACGGAGAAACGGGCATTGAAATAAGTCAATCAGAGGTATGACTGTTATACTCATGGAAGAAACAAAGGTGGTAGTTTTGTAAGTGTACTGTGAAACTCTTCATAAAACACGAAGGGAAACTGATAATAATAATAACATTAAAGAAACGGAACCGTTTCACATTATTCAAACAACTATTTCAAAAGTATATAAAATGAACCAATAAATACAAATACGATAAGAACGAGAAGTTGTGTATGATTAATTGACTCGTTTTAATAATTTTTGTTTGCTAAACATTTCAAAGATATATCAAATAATACAAAAATAAAAGCATATATAAAGGAATGTTTAATGTTTTTAAACTTTTTTTACACTTTTTATTGGTCATTTTTATGTTGCTATTTTTGCTTACTTTATTTTTGTAACTGATGTTATATATAAATTGTGAGAGGTTAATCGAATAAGATTTCTATAAACACTAAAATGTTATTTGTTTATTGGAATTAATTTTTCACCACCAATTTTAAAATATTGATGGGTTGGAACAAATTTTTTAACAGGTTTTATTTTTTGTGTGTTTTTTCTGTTAATTTATTTCACAATAATACCGTTTTTGCCTAAATCTATTTTTTGAATAACCAAACATTAGCCTTACTTTTTTTTATTAATATTAAACCATTTACTTTGAATGTATTATGATAATATTTTGATTTGATTTTATAGATTAATTATGATATTAATGTAATTATACCATTTTATCAATAGCAAATAACGACTTTGTAAAAGTACCAAGGTTTTACTGTTTTTAAACAACAACGAAAACGATGTTGTGCCGAAAATGATAGTTGGAGTAATAATTTTTTACTTTCGACGCGTTGTTTAACACTCAAATGGCCTAAAGCCAAAAAATATAAATTTTCAAATAATTTAATACCAAATTTGATTTTTGCCTTTCATTTCATTTTTCATGAATTTCATGTTTCAAAATGAAATTTGGTAAAAATTTTATAAAAATATTTTTGAATATGACGACATAATTAAATAATTGTTTTGTATAATTATAATAACATAAACTAATATCATAAAAATTTTTGGATTTTGCAAAAAAAGACAAAAATGGTGTTTGGAAAATATAATAATGTAAACTATTGTTACATAATATTAATTAAATAACTAAATAAATAGTTTTATATATTTTTTATCATATTATTTACTATTTGTTATGATAATGTTATAATAATATTAATAATTTATTTTTTTGTTTTTTTTCAGATCTATTTTTAATGACACGAACTAAAACATCAATAAAAACAACATATTATCGAATTAAAAGCAACTTGCTGTTTATCTAGTCAACACCGTCACACATCAAATTAAATTGAGTTTGTTATGGTTCGTTTTTATATTATTAATATACGTCTTATTTATGCAACAAAATTTGTTATTGTATATTGGATATATTATTATTTAATAAAACAAATTTGGGGTTCTGAAATATAGTAAAACCTATTAAACGCGGCACTTTTGAATTGCGCAACTCTCAATAGAAAGCAGTTTAGACTGAATCCAAAAATCGAGTTTTCTATAGAACAGGTTTTGATGTTTGATTGGCGAAAATTCCCGTTCTTGAGAGAACAAAAATTACCATACATTCTTGCTTTTGAAAAGTTTGACTGTGTTTTTGAAAAAAAAGTGTTGCTATTTTTAACCTCAAAAACAAATCTTAGGTAATTGAGTCCTCATTTTTATTATTTTTGACTAAGTTTTGGGTCATTTTTCGGTTTTTCGGCCAAGAAGGGGTTTTTGGTCTTTTTTAATGACTTTTTTCAAGAAGGCATTTTTTGATATTGTTATTATTCTAATAAAAAATTGGTTTTCGGCCAGTTAAGTGTTAAGAAATGATATTCACAATTATTTTTTTTTGTCAAATTAGATATGTTTGAAAAATATATTATGTTTGAAAGAAAATAGACAACAATGTTTGTGTTGATAGTCTAATCGATCTTGTTATTCCGCTATGTTTTTATCACTAATTAATAATTAGTTTATTTTTTGAAACATAAAATATAGTTGTTTTTAAGAACCATATAGTTTGTTTTATTTTTCAAGATTGTTTTTCACCAACTCAGAATTTTTGTTCACATCTCAAAAATAATCAAATTAAATTTTAGATGGATTTTTAGTAAAAAGGTTGAAAACAATCACACCAATAACTTGTATAAAAACAACGGAACTTGCTACGAAGTATTGAAAAAACGCAAAACAGACAAGTTAGCAAACTATTATCTTTTCAATTCATTGAACTACAACAAACTGTGTTATAGAATGTATAACAACAATAAGTAAACAAGTTTGTTATATGTAATGTATATATTAATCTATATATTCAATAACAATGACATTTAAGGTGGTTGAAATGTACTTGATAGTGAATCTGTTTTGGACACTCCAAGTACATCGCTTAATACTATAAATTTTATCGGCTTGAAAATATATGTCTCGGGATTTTTGATGTTTCTATTGCGTAAATCCCGAAAAATATTAAAATTATATCTTCGATATAATATCTTATTTAAACTAGTTCTTATTTGTTAGTTAATTTGAGTAATATCCTTGTGCAGAAAAATGTTATGAAAAAATAAAACAGGCATGACAATCTTTTTAAAAAGACCAAACGACAAAAAAAAGAAAAAAATAACACTGCCTAATAAAAAAATTAACAGGGAAACAAGGAAACGTGTTAAAAATCACTTCCAATAAAAAAATTGTGGTGGTATTGGTTAAACATAAAAAATGACAGTTTATTTATTTTCAAAAATTACTCCGCTTCAATGTTCCATCCAAAATTATCATTTAGAATTTTCAATTATTTTCAATGCAAATTACATCGAATCATTTTCATTATACATTTCAATTGTTAATTTGATATAATTGATAATTTTAATAAATTTGTGTGTTTTACATTACACTTTAACAACAACAACAATGAAAATGAAAATGGATTACATTAACAAAACAACAACTCCAATCAACACGGAAATTGTCATGGACAAAGCACCATCAAGTTTTGAAATTTCTGAATTTTCGTTTGGTATAACAAAAGTGACTGGTTCTTCGGGTTTAACTTGTTCTTCTGGTTTATCTGTCTCTGAAGGTTCTGTGGAAGTCACTGGTGGATCTACTGGTTTTGAAGGTTCCACTGGCTTTTCTGGCTCTGATGGTTTTTCTGATGTTTCTGGTTGTGATGGTTCGACTGGCTTAGAAGGTTCAACAGGATCGACTGCAGCTCTTGTTTTGTAGCATTGACCAGGTTTTGTGACAATTTCACAGTTGTCAACATCAAAAGTGTCCAACTCGATTTTAACCCAGTGATTTTTGACAAGTGTGCATATTTTGTTTTCTATTGAGAACAATACTTTAGCCGTTGAATCTGTTGGAAGTTTGTCTAGCCACTCGCCTTTGATGTGATTCTTGTCATTTTGATTGATTCTGAATCCAAAGTTGTAAACATTATTGACACCACCTAAGATGTAACTGAAGCTAAGTTCTTTTTGTGTTGAGAGAATGTACGATGGAATGTAATTACCAGCCGGGCAATTGGCTATAGTAGTATCAACCACATATTTCCCATGATTGGATTGTCGAGGGGAATCACCATGTATGCGGGATATGAGCTTCCAGCTATTCCAAACCCGTTGCAAATGCCACACTGTTTGTAATACTCATTTGCATCCATGTATGTTTTTCTGTACCCATTACAATTTGAATTGTCAAAAATGCTCAACTGAGTATTTTCAATTTTGACAGACACACCAGTTGTGATTGTATAACACTTGTTGCCAATGTTGTTTGGAACATCGACTTCGTAATTAAAAAAAAGTGCCAAAATGCGTGTCAATACCAACAAAAACGTGCCAGAATGGGACTGGGTACTGTAAGTCGACTGGATAAGCCGCAAGTGATACTGCAACAAACAGGAAGAGAGAGAACATTGAATGAATCACAGAATTTTCTTTTTCTTTTTATACTAATTATTTGGACATTTGAAAAATGAATGAAAACAAAACAACACATTTTAAGAACAAATACCAAAATAGCTAATAAATCTTAACACAATGCAATGGTTTTGGCACTGTCTGGTCTTTTTGATCTTAATTTAAATTATTCGCTTATTATTTTTAAATATTTTGAAATGAAAACAAACTTGTCTTTAAATGCATTTATTATAATTATATAATTTTATAATAATTTATTTATCGATTGTATTATTTAAAAATATAAAAAATAACAATGTCTATTTAATTATATAATGGTAAAAATAACATAAATACATAAAGTTTGTGTTCTTTAAAAAACAAAAACCACCCGGGTATATTTGAAATATTTTTTATTTCAAATGTATTAGTAATAATAATATTTATGATGTAACTAAAATCAACAGTTAAATCAATTAAATGTCATTAATTAAATAATTCTTATAAAAAATATTAAAATAATAAAACAATGTTTCAAATAAATTTTACATTTGATGAACATTACAAAATGGAGTATTTTGTGAATGTTTATAATTTGTAGGTTGTGAAATAAAATGTAATTTCAAAACGAGACCCGCAAATGTAATTATTTTAATATAAAAAATCTTCGTATTCCAAACACATGATTAAAGTTTGTTACGTTGTTAATTAAGTTGTCATTTGATAAACTCAATTTTTACCCTGCCTTAATAGTTGAAATAGTTGTTTGAAAAACTTAAACAAAAAGTATAAACAACACAATTTCATGTGATGTTCCACAAAAATTACATATTTTCTTTTGTTTTACATTTGGTCTTTTTCAAAATGGCATATTAATAATGTTTATACATACAATTTATACAAATCAGCAAGTGGTTGACACATGAATATGAATTTCAAATAATGCTGTGAATCACATGTAGAGTTTATTCTTTACAAGTAAAATTAATTTCATTTATACTATGTTGTTTTATTACAAAAAAATAAACATTTTTACTTTTTTGTTTTTTGTAAAAAATATTTTCTATATCATCATTTTTAAGGGATTCATGAGGATTGTAATTTTTCTGAGGATGGTAAATATCTTAAACATAATTTCTTTCATTTTGGATTTTTTTGCCTAAGATCAAAAAGGTATATTTTGAAACACATGATTTTCTTTAAAAATGCTATTTATAGATTTTTTGAAAGATGATTCTTTCAGTTGATTTTTACAAAAAAAATAATCTATTTCTATTTTCTGATTTACCACTTGACTAACCTTGGTTTAAATGAAAACATTTGACAGACATTTAAATTATCGAAAAAGTCGATTTTTAATCAAAATCACAAAACAAATTTATCGAACAATTTTTAATTTTTTTACAAAAATAATTTATTATAAATCAATTCATGATATTTCAAACAATAAAAATTGATAGCAAATAACATAATGATAATTAATACTTTATGCGATGACAATTTATGTATTTGCGCAAATTCAAAACGCGAGGTTTTGGATATCGATGAAACAACGATTGATAAATAAACAAATTTGTAAAATTATTGTTTTTGTTTTAAACGGTTTTATTTATATTTCAAAACATATAAACACAAGAAATATATGTTTATATTATTTTTTATACAATATCAATTCTCAATAAAAATGTGTTCAATTTATTAATCAATTTTATATATTAATTGGCGTTTTTGTTGTGTTTTGACGATTTTTGATATAATCAATTATCAAAACTCACTTTATAAATTGTTTGATAATTTTATTTATAGAATTTTAAATCAATAGTGGCAGTGCTATACATATCTCTGAGGATGGTAAGTCGTGTAACAAACAGACATTGTCAACACAGACTTAAACATCTAAAAAGTGAAATGACGTGTTCCCATATTCAAAAATAGTAACTTACTCAATATACATTTCAGATAGATGTAAAAGTGTAAACTTTCTATTTCTGTCATCCTCAGAAAATAATTGCCATCATCAGAACTCTAAATCTGTTTAAAACACAAGTTAATATCAAAATGAAACATTCATATTAAAATATACACAATATGATTAACTTTGTTATTACAATAAATTTGAATAATTGCATAAATTACAAAGTTATTAATAAATTTGTTATTTTAAAAATACATTTTTAGAAAATCAGTGTTTTCGACTTTTTCAATTTTTCATTTTGATAAAAAAACAATTATCAATTTAAATGTAAATTCAATCGTTTTGTTATTAAAAAGGATTCGTAAATAATATCAATAAGTTTATAATTATAATGTGAACAAATACAATTCACACTTTATTATTTCCCGTCTCAAGTAAGCGAGATATAATTATTGTTTTTGTTTACTGATTATTGTGGCGATTTTTTGATTGTATTTAATCTTTTGGCATTTATGACAAATTATTACCATTATTTAAAATTCGAACTTTGACTCGAAATATTAAGTGTAAATTATAACTTGAGTTATGAGAGTGGGCCTTATGGGGAACTGACCCTTATGGATTTTATTTTTGTATCCTCAGAAAAATATCTTTTAATAAAGATAGCCTTGATCCTGAGGATACACCTTATCCTCAAGAAACCTTTAAATAATTAAAAAATGAAGTATTCAGCCACTATGTGGTCAAATGAAAAATATTATTTATGTTATTAGTTGGGTTATTGGTTAAATAACATCTAAATATTCATATATATAATATCCCTTTTGAAGCTTATCTACTCCCACGAGTTTGGAACATTACATTGAAATTTGACACAAAATACAGTTAATGGACAGACTTTAATAATATAACGATGGGTTCTGTCACACTGTGACAGATAAAAACCAGTTAATAATAAAAAATCTTAAAAATTTGTGATAAAAAAGTAAAATACAATAAATTACAAATTCCAACTTATTATTCAATGAACTTTAAATTACAATAAAATATGAACATAAACTATAAACCTTTTGAAAAAATGTTAAACCAAATTCAATTTAAATTTGTTCTAATTATATGTCATAATGCGTTGTTTATTACTGTGTAGAATAAAGACACCGAGGATAGAAAAATATAAACAATTGGCTGAATATTTGAAGCCGTAAAAAACAATACAAAGTGTCTCAACACGCATTTGTATGAAAGATAAAACAACACTAATAAAAGAACAAATCAAAGCACTCAACGCCAAGTCTTAACACTTAAAACCAATGCACCAGTTTACATTCTTGAGCAAATGTTTTTGCTTTGATTAAGAAGAATGTTGCTGAAATCATAGTATGAGCCGAAACTGTTAAAAAACATTTAGATATCTCAACAAGAGAAAGTTAAGACTATGAAAAACTAAAAGGTCGCATTAGAAGATTCGAAAAAACAAATTCTGAACTTAAAATAAAATGGGATGAATGTGATAAATTTGAAAATGACATTTCTGAATGGAGACCAAATTGATACTTCTTGAACAAGTTGCCTATTTACAAACAATCAAAAAACGCGTACGTAATGAAGTTGATTGTTTTATTTTCTTCCATCTGTGAGACGTCAGTCGTTAAACACTTGTAGGTGCGCCTTCGCAGTTTCATCAAACAGAACAATGCTGTATGGTTTTCTTCTGACTGCTCTGCAAGTGCCTTTGCAATCTTTGTCTTGCCAACAACACTTGGCACAAGGAACATGAATTACTTAGTTAAGTTAGTGTCTGAACAATAACAACTTCTGCTTCTTAAAAGAGTCTCGGGTCACATCCTCACCACGCCAAACAACTTGTGTGTATCTCGTCACCAATTTAAGTAATCTTGTCTTCTTGTTCTGTGTCACTGCTTACTGTGATAGGTCCATTTGCTCACCACGTCATCTATTAGCTGTGGGGATCATTTGCACCGGCAGCATTAGTGTTACTTTTGTTTGGTTCTTCAATTTTATGAGCCACTTTTACCTCTGGGATTGCATGACACTTTAAGTCTGCGCAACCTCAAGATCTCTTGTTGTCTGGTTCAGCTCTCTCAAATGCCATCTTCTCTAGTGTCGGTTGTGTGTTTTTTCTTTACAAGTTTTTGATTTCCTCTGATTGTGAATTTTTTATGTGAAGATTGTTGCACACGCCGTCAACCAAATCAATTGCCTCCTCTTGCAAGAAATTCTCATTGATGAATCTCTTTGACAGCGACGAAGCTGCAACAAAAGCATGTCCGCGACTGTCAATTTATAATGGCTTTCTCCTGTTGCACACGCATACAAAATAGTGTGGCTTTTATCTATGAACAGAATAATTTGAATCTTCGACTCTTTCACCTCATTAGAAGCAGCATTAAGTCACTTTTCAAACAGTCCTTTGTATTGCCCATCAGCAATCAGTACACCCATATCAAGTGCACTGACTCTGTAATGCAAGTTTAAAGAAACAATATTTGACTTTTCGCTACCTTAAACATTTCACAACAGCTGTTTTATTAAAACCAGGTTCAACAAGCAATGGTAAAAAAAACTATTTTATTCGACAATATAACAAATTTGTTGTGATTTTGTTTGAATATTTTATTTGTTTATTTAATAACATTTTAATTTAATTTTCTAAATTAAAAACAACAGTTTTAATGAAATATTTTAACTATATAAATACAATGAATATCATTTTGGTGACCCATTTTTTATTATATTTAGCACTATAATATTGTATTATATTTTAATAATAAATTATCATTTAAGAATGGGTATTTTTACGAAAATAATCTCATAACTTGTAATGGTGAATTATATATTGATCTATAATTTATTAAAGTTGTTTACAAAGAAGGATTTTGAAATATTTAAATACCGAAAAACTGTAATTATAAAAATGTGTGGACTTTCTGGTTATCATGCTATGATAGTATCGAAGTACTTTGAGACTATCAAAGACTTTATAAACTTGGAGTTTGTATGCAAGAAGTTTAGTGGTAATATGGGAAAGTTTCATTTTAATCCGTTTTCGTTGAATTCCAAAACACTTGGATACTTTCCAAACATCGAGACACTTCACTTGTGGAATAAAAAAGATGAAAATTTTGGCAATGAATTTATGACCAACACAGAAGAAAATGAAGACAATGGAGATATAACCATTTTAAAGAAAAAGTTCTTTCGAATTATTGTGTGGTTCAGTGTTGATTTTGGAACGGTTGACAGAAACAAAAGTCGAAACATCCAGTTTAAAAATGTCACTTACACTGAAAATGATAGAAATAAATATGGTTATATCATACCATTGAGCGTAACATTTATTGATGGTAATTGTTTTGATGGATGCAGTAGTTTAACTAGTGTTACAATACCATCAAGCGTGACATCAATTGGTGATAATTGTTTCTTTGGATGCAACAGTCTCAGCAGTATTACAATACCACCATGTGTCACATCAATTGGTGATGGTTGTTTCTGTGAATGTAGTAGTTTGAGCAGTGTTACAATTCCACTAGGTGTCACATCAATTGGTGATTATTGTTTTGATGGATGCAGTAGTTTAACTAGTGTTAACATATCATCAAACGTAAAATCAATTGGTAGATGTTGTTTCTGTAAATGTATTAGTTTGAGCAGTGTTACAATTCCATCTAGTGTTAACTCATTTGGTGATTATTGTTTTTGTGAATGTAGTAGTTTGAGCAGCGTTACAATACCATCGACTGTCACATCAATTGGTGATGGTTGTTTCTGTGAATGTTGTAGTTTGAGCAGTGTTACAATTCCACTAGGTGTCACATCAATTGGTGATGGTTGTTTCTGTGAATGTAGTAGTTTGAGCAGTGTTACAATTCCATCTAGTGTTAACTCATTTGGTGATTATTGTTTTTGTGAATGTAGTAGTTTGAGCAGCGTTACAATACCATCGACTGTCACATCAATTGGTGATAATTGTTTTGATGGATGCAGTAGTTTAACTAGTGTTAACATACCATCAAACGTAAAATCAATTGGTAGATGTTGTTTTTCATCAAACACAGTAGTTCATTAAAGCAAATGAGTTAATTTGATAATATTTCATTTATTTATTTTTTATTATTAATAAAAATAATAATAATTGAAAAAAACAATTAATTATTAGCGAAATTAATTTTATCATTTTCTTAAAGCGCGCGAGAAATAGGAGGAGGTTACTAAAGCCGACCCCCTCTTCCACCTCCTGGTAACAGAGATTACTTAAATGTAAGATTTTGTAATTTGGTGAGTATATACCACGTCTTTTTAAAAATTAAAAACAAAAGTTAATATAACAGAATTAAGTTATATCAAGAAAAAGTATCAGTTTTTAATCAATAATATGAAAATAAAACCAAATAATTTAATTGACTTGTTATTCCATAATATAGAGACAATTTATTATGTTTTTTGTTTGTGTAATGTTATGCACATTATCAAATTTTTAAAATGGATACAATTATTTTCACAACAATTCCTTATTTTTTCATAACAAGGAAAAATAGATTTCTGTTTCATAACAATTAGATTTGTACATTTTTTCAGCCCTGTTTTAAAATAATTATTTTTTGTTTTACAATTTGCGTGATTGTTGCATAATTGGCATTATTGTTGCATATCAATATCAGGTGTTTCAGAACTATTAATTTATCCTCAAATCAATAATTTATTGTTCCAAAACAAAAAGTTGTTTCATAATTATTGTATTTTGTTTTAAAATAATATAGTATTATTGTATAATCGCATTGTATAATTTCACAACAAAACGTTATAAATTAACACAAAAAATAAACTATAAACTAAAAAATAATATAATCGCAATTGGATTCTTTGAGTTCACCCACGGAGATGAAGTCAAAGGATTTTTAATCGCGAAGAGGTTTTTTATTTGTAGAAACACCACAACCGGTAGAAATGGCAGAAAGAAAAACAGCCGATGACATTGTTACCTCATTAGTCCCACTACCACCTCAGCCATTTGTACACACAGCTCAACAATTGAATAATGAGAGGACTAAGAGGATTTATGTCGTTGTTACAGAAACACAGAGGAAGACTTTAACTGAAGAATACGCTGAATATGGGAAGGCAAAATACTGGAAGTTCTATAAATTTGGTGAAAAAAATCGTATTAGTGAGTCTTCAGTTAAAAGATTATTGGGACAATTGGCGAAAGGAGAAGACATATCGAAACCCAGAAAACAAGGAAGAAAGTTTAAATACAGTACTTCACTTCTTTCAGCTATTGCCAAAAAGTTGTCACTTGAAGGAAAAATTCTCAGAGAAACCAAAAAGGCTTTTACAAAAGAGGAGTTAAAAAAAGAATTGAAGGAGGAACTATTCTTTGAAATTGTTAGTGTGTCAAAAATGTACTTTTATATCAAGAACAAGAATAACATGGAAGAAGCAAACCATCATCACTTTTTTTACTGAAATCATTATCAGGGGTCCGATCAAATACTGATTAGAGCTTCGACTATATCACACCAACAATAATATGCAGAGTGATTACTCACTCTACCTTGGTAGTGACTCGTTAAGTTTTTCCCATGAAGACATGTATTTTTTTAAGTTATCTCGTGTTTAATATTAATTTTTATCGAATAGATTATAAAATTATACCAATTTAAATTGTTTATTAAAAGAGTTTTGTTTTGATAATATTTATTTTTTGTGTTAATTTATAACGTTTTGTTGTGAAATTATACAATGCGATTATACAATAATACTATATTATTTTAAAACAAAATACAATAATTATGAAACAACTTTTTGTTTTGGAACAATAAATTATTGATTTGAGGATAAATTAATAGTTCTGAAACACCTGATATTGATATGCAACAATAATGCCAATTATGCAACAATCACGCAAATTGTAAAACAAAAAATAATTATTTTAAAACAGGGCTGAAAAAATGTACAAATCTAATTGTTATGAAACAGAAATCTATTTTTCCTTGTTATGAAAAAATAAGGAATTGTTGTGAAACTAACTATATTTTATAAACTTGAGATTTGGTGTTTTTGATCAATTTAATTTAATTTAATGCTATTATAATTGTTTTTTAAATTGTTTAATAATTTCGTTTATTTTTTAATTCAACACTTAAAAACACTTCCTGTTAAAAGTGTATTCAAATATTCATTTAATATTTCGGAAATTGACCACTTATTTTTTATTATAAATATAGTAAAACAAACTAAATTAATTAATTTTCAAAATTATCAATTATTTACCAAGTGCAGTAAAATCAAACAAAATAACAAAGTTTTTTCTTGTTAAAATGATTTGTCGTTGATTTACAACGTCTTATTTAAACCTTTATCGTTTAGTTTTGTTTTTCAAAATCATTAAACTTGTTGACACTACTTTTTAAACTCGATGTGTTTCACAAAAATCAATCAATTAAAATGTTTTCCAAAACTCTGTACCGTTTCCAAAATTTATAAAAACCCTTTGTCCCAGTTTCCCGTTATTTCCTATTTTTTATTTGTTTTATTTTACTGTTTGTTGAACCAACAACGGTACACAGTTTAAAACCCTTAAAAACCAATACAGTTTCAATTATTGAACAAAAAATCGGGAAATCACCCAAATATTGGGTAAATCTTCCCCGATTTTCTAGGTTCGTTATTTGGTCAGTGGTTTATTTTGTAACTAAACGTGAGTAAAACAACATATTTCTAACAAACACAAAATAAACGATAATATAATGATTAACTAATGATGTAATAAAGACATCATTGCATCAAATGATACAACACTTAAATTAATAATAAGTTTTTGTTTATTTCAACAATTAAAAAAGTAATCGATAACATAAAACAAACATTTAAACAATCAAAGTTATTAATCAAAAGAGTCTTAAATAAAATAAACAGTTCAAAAATTAAAAAAAAACTTTTCAATTGTAAGTCTTAATGTTATTTTTTTTCTCTCAATGCTTGTTTTACTCATTAGTACTTTTCATTTTTATACAAAACACGACTTGGTGATTCTGTAAACATGGACATTTAATTATAAAGTTGTGTTTTATCTTTTTGGCAAAAATCGTGTTATGGTAATCAAAATTTTAATCCCAAGTTTGTTTTTTATATTTTTCAAGTAAATTTTTGGTGCAAGATTTATTTGTCAAGTAAAATTTAAAAAAGTCAAGTTCGTTATTTTGTTTTTTTCGAGTAAATATTTTGAACAAAAAATGAGGGTTAAGCAAAGGAAAAAATATTTAGAAATTATTTGTCTAAAAAATCGGGGCATCCCAGTACAGAGTTTTCAAAAACAGTTTAATTTATAATTTGAAAATAGTATCATAACAATATTTAATATGAAATTATATTGTTTGCAACAATGTTCAGTCTAAAAAAGTATTATATCAGTAAAATTAACAACATTAGATGACGTTAAAATAACCAGTGATTAAAATGAATAAGATAGTTTTATTAATTTTTGTATTTTATATTATAATTATATTCAGTAGTTTAATTATTTTAAAACATATGAATTATTGTAGTTTATTTTATTTTTTATAATTGAAAGTGAAGCAAGAGTGGCCGAGTGGTCCAAGGCGCTTGTTTCAGGTACGAGTCTTTTCGAAGGCGTGGGTTCGAACCCTACCTCTTGCATTTTATACACTTTTGTTTTATATTATTTTTTAACAATTTTTAATTGATTTAAAATTAGAATGTTTACTTGGAATTTGAAAAGTTAATAAATAAAAACTCCAAAGACTGAAGCGAACTAAAAGAACTGCCTAACGATATCTTCAACAAAAAATTTTAACCAATTTATATATAAGCAACAAACTTGAAAGAAGAAGACATTCAAATAGGAGAAGAAGGAGCTGAAGTACAAGACTTGTTGTAGATAATGGATCCGGTATGTGCAAGGCCGGTTTAGCTGGTGATGACGCATCACAAGCTGTCTTCCCATCAATTGTTGGAAGACCAAAACAAGTCTCAGTAATGGCTGGTATGGGCAACAAGGACACTTATGTTGGAGATGAAACACCTCAAAGAGAGGTATTTTGACTTTGAAGTACCCAATTGAACACGGTATTGTCAACAACTGGGACGACATGGAGAAGATCTGGCACCACACTTTCTACAACGAGCTCAGAATTGCACCAGAAAAGCACCCAGTCCTCTTGACCGAAGCCCCAATGAACCCAAAGGCTAACAGAGAAAAGATGACACAAATCATGTTCAAGACTTTCAACGTCCCAGCCATGTACGTTGAATTGGGGCGTTCTTTCATTGTACGCCATTGATAGAACGACTTTATTGTCATAAATTCTGGTGACGGTGTCTCTCACTGCGTCCCAATCCATGAAGGATTCTCACTCCACACGCCATTCTCAGAATTGATTTTGCTGATCAGATCTCGCTGACTACCTCATGAAGATCTTGACTAAAAGTTGTTATTCATTCATTTCAACTGCTGAAAGAAAAATTGTCAGAGACACTAAAAAATACTCTGTTACTTTGCTCTTGACTTCAACAAAAAAAAATGCAGAAAGCTGTTTCATAATCAGAACTCGAGAAGTCATACGAACTTCCAGATGGTCAAGTCATCACTATTGGCAATGAGAGATTCAGATGCCCAGAAACACTCTTCCAGCCATCATTCCTTGGTATGGAAGCATTAGGTATCCACGAGACAACTTACAACTCAATCATGAAGTGCGATGTCGACATCAGAAAGGACTTGTACGGAAACATCGTCTTGTCTGGTGGAACATCAATGTACCCAGGCATCATCAGCAACTTGAGAAGGAGATGGTTGCTCTTGCGCCACCAACAATGAAGATCAAGGTCATTGCACCACCAGAGAGAAAGTACTCCGTCTGGATTGGAGGCTCAATTCTTGCTTCATTGTCCACTTTCCAGAACATGTGGATCACCAAGAAAGAGTACGACGGGTCTGGACCAGCCATCGTCCACAGAAAGTGCTTCTAAAACTTTTTGTTTTCAATTTTGTTTTTTGAATTTTAAACACAATATAAAGCATTGTAAAAATTTATAAGTTTCAACATTGAGATTCTGATAAATAAATAAATTCATGATTAATTGTTCAAAAATTTAAAATCAAATTAAAATCATGTTTAAAAAATTGTTTAATAAAACAATTAAATTTTAAAACAACTTCAGAATATGTTCAATAGAATTTATTTGACTACATAATAAAGATATTTCCCAAACAACTAAAACATTTACCAAATAGTTGAATATAAACAACAATTTATTGTTTAATATTAGAAAAGTGGGAAAAACCCCTGTCCTCTTCCATAGCCTCTGAAGATGCCAAACCCAATAACAGAGAAAGAAAATTAGTTTTCATCTTATTTATGCAGGGTATCTGAAATATTTTGAAGCCGACTATAGTCCCCATTTTGTTGGTAACACCACTTGACTTGGATTTGGTCTGGAGAGTTGCTTCAGCACTTGGTGCAGTCCCATGTATCCTCACCTTATATCACAGAATTATAATGCCGATGCCAAAGAAGAAAGTAGCTGCAAAGGCTACGAAGAGTGAGGTGAAGCGACTGATTAAGAAGAATTGGTATTACTTATTTGGGACCGCTGGTTGTTGGTTCTTCGTTGATATTGCGTTCTATGGCAACTCGATGTTTAATTCCACGGTACTACAAGTCATTGGATTTAAACCGAAAGACACGGACAGTGATCACCGGCAAGGCCCGATCTCCACTGCAATAAAAAATTTGATATTAGTCTCAATTGCATTCCCTGGCTTCATAGTCAGTTTCTTATTAGTCGATCGGATTGGAAGAAAGCCATAACAGTTGTTTGGATTTGCTGGAACAGCGGTTTGTTTGTTGTTCTTATGATCGGAACAGCTATTTCTGAACCATTCTCGTCCAAGTTTGGTCACTTAGCGACGTTCTGTACATGTGGTGGATTGATGATGATTAGGTTCTGTTTGTTGTTCATTGCCCCGGAAGGAGAGGGCGTCGATATATAAGATGTCGTGTTCTCTACGGGTATAAGAGGTTCGAAGACGACACTTCCAAAAGTGTAGAGAAATTCAAATGATTATTATTTACAATCATTATTATTTGATAGTTGTCAAGATACCAATGAAAAATTAAGTAATTATTTGTTATTTTTCAAACAAAAATCAATTCACAATCTATAATAAGAATTAATTATTAATTTTAATAACTTTTTTAAAGTCTCAAACTTAATTAAATCAATTTGTAAAGACACAAACAGCAATTGTAAAGAAGAAAAAACAAAAACGAAAAGAAGGCACATTTTTTAAAAAATCATAAAAAACCAAATAAAAAATATTTTAAAATGATATGCAACCACCAAGTTTTTGATTTATTTGTCAATTTATTTTAAAATAAAATTAATTCGACAAATAATTGATTCATGTTGTTGAATTTAAAAATAAAATAAGTCTTGAATTTTTTTTGTTGTATTTTTCGTATGTTTTTAATATTGAAATTACAATCATATCAATGATAAGTGTTGTTGTTAGTATAATTTAATTTAACAACAAAAATTATTGTATTTTTTGATTCAAATAATAAAAATAATTATAATATTTTGATAAACTTATTAAATTGTATTTTTGGAATAATGAAATAGTTGGAATTGAATGAAAACCAATATTTTGTTGTTTTTTTAAAGACATATTTTATTTTTTGACTTTTCGAATAACAGTTACTTAATTTTTAAAATACAGAAAAACAAAAAAATAATTTTATTATTTAAATATATATAAATATTGTTTTTAATAGTAAATATAAGTAAAAATATATTATTAAATAGAATTAATTTTTGGAAATGTTCTAAAATCACAAAAATATCACAATCAATTGCTACAACAACATCAATAAAACTTTGGAATATATATCCAAAAACAAAAACTGTTTATTTTAAGAATAAAATAAAGTGTTTTTTTTTCACAAAATACCTTCTATTTTAATTTTAAATGCTTTGATTTTAATGTTCAAATAAAAACACAATACAAACAATTGGATAACAAAGAAAATGGAGACACGGTGGCATTGTTTCGATTTTTTGAATAGAAGCATGAACGACAAAAATATTATTTAATATTTGTTTGATATTATTTTGAATACACTAATAAAACCATTAATGCACATTGAATACAATTTAAAACATCGAAGAAGTCAAGAGATAGCATACAAAGATCCAATTAGCTTGTATTTCGACATTGTGTTAATAGACTACTGTGTTTTTGGTCGATTATAAATAAGAAATTTATAATTAGAAAAAAAAACAATATAAAAAGCAAGAATTTGATATTCAAACACATTGATTGAACACGGCTACCTGAATTAAAAATGTATTATATCTCGAAAACGAATATGCTGTATTAACCAAATGGAATGTGTCTAAAATTGCAAGCATACATTCAAAGCTTGTAATTCTCTGTATGTTTATTATATCTAAACAATTACAACCAACAACCAAGGCGTCATTAATGTACAAATAACATTATTATTATTAACATACACTCTCTCTTTAATCAACACCAAACGAAAACAATGCGCACTTCCCCACTTGGTTACAAAACATCATTATTATTGTACATGGGTTGTTTCTGCTTGTTTTAAAATTTAAAGTATTAACCATACAGAAAGTGATCATGCATATAGACGCCGGCTTGTACATAGTCGGCAACCAATGTAATTGGACAAGATATCCTTGTGAAATAGCCATTGCCATTACGACTCTTTTATAACAATAAAGGAGTCCCTCTTTGTTGTTTAAATAAAGTTAGACTGAATTAAAAAATCAATAAAACAAATTAATAGCGCTTATACGGCACAATAACAGTCTACACAACAAATCACAGAGGTGTGAGCGCTTATAATTATAATATTTATATTGTAAATATAATACAGAGAAAGACACAAAGGAAATAAATGAAGATTTAAGAAGAAATGAAGAAGAAGTCGCTGGGATATAATTGATCGATTACATTGTCAGTTCGTTGTTTTTTATTTGAACATTTGTTATAAATTTTAAAATAGCTTATAATTAATTATACAGTAAGTAATAAACGTATAGACAAATTTTAATTATTTATAAACTTTCTATTCAAAAATTAATAAAACATCTAACATTCATACATTTTATTATAGTAGTCAGGTCGACAGAAATATTATCAAATAATCAAATAAAAAGTATTTGACATAATTGAAACCTTAATGAATACTGTTTATCTATGTTGATGTATTTTGTGGTTGTTGTGTGTAAATCTGATGACAAAAATGACCAAATTCAAATTAAAGCAGTTTTTATTTAAATGTTACTGATGATGCAATCAACTAATTATTTCTAATTCACAAAAGTTGTCAAGTTATTAATTAATAAAAATGTATAACGTTCAAAAACGTGAGGATGAAAAAGTTGTTATGAAAATAAAACAATTTTAAATCACAACAACAATCTAAAATAAGATATTCATATCTAAATGAAATGATTGATTTGAATTTGAATTTGTGTTGGATTAAATTGTATATCATGAATGTTTGAAATATTACAGTAAAAAACACAAAAATATTTACAGACCACACACAGAGTACTTTTACTATCTCTAAATAAAATTAAATTCTGAAAACTATAACCAAAAAACAGTTAAAAATCATCAACACAACATCAAATCATTTAATTCTATTTTTAAAATTTGAAATCAAATGATTTAACATCTCAAATTGTAATATGGTTTAATTAATCAACAATAACTATGCGTTTCATGACATCCTTTTTGAAACATTAAAAACACATTGCACATTTTTGATGAGTTTGTTGAATATTTAATGACAACGAAGTACCCTATTTAGATTACATCAACAATACCATTTAATTTGTTTGTATTTAATAACTAATGATACTTTGTGTTAAAAAATGTTTGTTGTAGCTCAAACAATAATTGTGACTTATATTTCACGCTTTCTTGTGTAAATAAGTGATTAAAAATAAGTATTGTTGATTTAAAAACATAAATATTTGGAATGAAGTTTTTTATTACTCGAACTTAATCTAAAAAATATTTGGAATGATGGTCTTGATTAACGTTAAATTGAGAAACTAAATATTAGTTTTATTTAAAATGAATAATGTATATTTTCTAACAAAGAAATCACAATTATACATTTATATTAATAATATAAATTATATCGTACTTATTGTCTATATTTTTTATTTAATTACAAACAACAAAAGTATGTACCTCTCGTATTGAAAATAACAAGATGTTCAACGAAAAAAACAAGTTAATTGTTCGAAAAGACGATGCTTTGATTATTGAAGCCACTAAAAGTGTGTGAAAAACAGTTGTAAATAAACGCATTTAAAAGTTGGTGCGGAGAAATTGTTCAAGAAATGCAAAGTGTTCATTAATTTGACTGGTTGTCAAGAATGTGTTTCACCAAAAATGTTGGAAGGAAGAACAATGAACCGTGTTAAAATGTGAGATGGAATTTTTTTTGTTAATAAACAAAATGTGATAAGTTTAATCAGAAATTGAAAGATGTGCACAACAAAAAAATGAGATAAGTGTAAAGAGAATTTATTATTTCTGAAAACACATACAATACGCCATACAAACAAGGCGACACTGGATGTAAGGTTGGTATGAACAAAAGTGAATCATTGAGAATTAATGTTGTAGCTTTGGTATATGTCTTGATGATCATTTTTCATGTTATTTTGTGGTTGTTTTTGGTTCAAAAATCTGTTTTTATTATTAACATTAATATTATGTAATTGTCATAATTACAAATTTCAAACAATGGGAATGAATACATGTAAGAATATTATCAAAAAGCGGATTTAGATTGATTTATTAGTCTTATCTATATATAAAGAGAAAAGTATATTTTGAATTTAATATATAATTTGCATTACCATCACCACTTCTAAAAATAGATTTCTTATTTTTTCTATTTGATACTTATTAAGAATTCAATTATGACTCACCATGTTTATGATAGGCTGGTTTGCATGACTCAGAGTAGTTGTCTACATCAACTATTTTTTCGCCCCCTTTTCGCATTCTCATGTTCTGTGTAATTTTGTGTATTTCCTGGTTCAAAAGATGCTCTTCCCAAATTCACTTATTCACGAAAAATAGACGCCTTTGACTGTTTATTTATAATGAAATAGAAAATAAGAATTGGACAGTACGACTTTGATTTTTCTTCGAGTATGTAATTTTCTATTTAACAAATAGAATTCACAAGATAGAATGAAGATTTTTTATATTTTATTACCAAAGAAAGATATACAGCAAAGTGATGAAAAAAATGTATGGCAAAGATATATGTTACAAATGATTAAAATTCACACAAAACACAAAACAACAAATAAAGCAAATAAGTTATAAACAAAAACACTCTTTGTGTGAAATTGTAATTATCAATCAACTCTTTTTGTTTGGTGGTGTAAGTGGATAGGTTGCAATTGTTTTCATCAGTACGTTTCTTGTACACTGCTATACAATGACCATTTTTAAATCCAAAGTAATATGAACTGTTTTAATGATGTAAATAAAAATAATAATTGTTATAATTTCCACGCTTCTCGATCTCTTTGGATTTGAAGTGCCACTTTCTACAAGTGAAAAGTATAAAAATTGCCACTATCGAGCCAATGGTCAATAGCATTGATATTTCTCATGTAAGTACCACCAAACTTGTTGTGATTTGTGTCTTCTATCAAAAAGCACAAGTTGCTTTGTTTCATCATTTTTGCATCAAACATAGAAATACATTGTGACAAATTGTCTTTGCCCGAGTCA